ATTCATTTAGTAGATATTTTGGAATTACCTTCTATAAGCGTAGCACTATTGCAGATATTGTGGCAGTAAATAAAACAGAAAGAATCCCTGGCTTTTGAGGTTCTTCTATTTTAATGGGGGAAAGACAGGCAATAAGTAAGTAAAATGAATAGAATACAGGACTTATATTAGGTAGGTGCTAAGGAGTTATGAGATAAAGCAGAGAGAGTTTGTAGGGAATGTCGGGAAAATGATTTTCAATCTTATATAGTGTGGCCAGGAAATTCTTTACTGAGAAGGGAACATTGGAACAAAAAAACCTGAGGGGCAAAAATGAGGCAACAGACAAGCAGGGTGCCTTGTACCCAGGCGGCAGCAGCAGCAGCAGAGAAAATGAGGCAAGAACAGAGTCCCCCCATCTGGGAGAAGCAGCAGGGTTTTCTGATGGTGCAGTTGTGAGGTCAGAGGGAAAGAGCCGAGTCAGAGAGGACTCGGGATGTGCTGTGAGCTGGGACAGGGCAGGCTGTGCTGACGAGGAGCAGGGGAGGAGTTGAGCTTTGGGTTTGTCAGTCCTGCAATGCTTGTGAGAAACAAACTGGAGATGGCAGGTGGGCAGTTGGATGTTGGATGAGTGTCCGAAGGCCAAGGGAGAGGTTCAGGCTAGAGATTTATAATTGGAAATTTTCAGTGCAGAGATGGGATTCAGTACCACAAAACCCACTGACTCGCCAGAGCAGGGAATGTATAGAGAAGAGGAGAGAGCCTGGGACGGAGGCTGAGCACTCTAACATCAGAAATTGGGAAGAAGAAGAGAAACGGCTACAGGAGATTGAGGAGGGAGGAGAGCCATGTCACCAGCCGGCTATGGGTTCTTTTACTCAATTCAGGTAGAAATAACGAATGGACAAGGGCAGCGTTGCTACCGTGGTACTCCAGACGTCTCCAAGGGAAGTGTTTCGAGGGTGCAAAGTGATCCCCTGTGTTAGATCAAGAAAGATGAGAGCTAAGAATCCATATTTACCATTGGACGTTGAGGTCATCGGTGACATATGGGTTGAATGTTTGTCCCCATCTGTAACTCATATTGAGATTTACACTTGATCTTGGCCAAAAGGCTGAGAAGCGATTACTCACATTGAGATGTAATCATCAGTGTTCAGAGGCAGAACTGATGGAGGTGTTGGGTCACAGGGCTTCACCCTCAACAGTGGGTCGTGATGGGAGGGGTTGTTTCTCCTTTTGTCTGTTGCTCTGACTTCTTACCCCACAGTGATGTGCAGACCTTCTGCCTTGGACTTCCCAGCTCCCAGAACTCAACCATAAGTGAGAGTATTCACATGCATCTAGAACTTTCCAGAAAGACTCACCCATCTTCCTTCCATTCAGAGAACCTTTCTCCTCTTGCTAATGGCTTCAAAATGCAGGCCCAGTTGTACCAAAATGAGAGTGTCCTATTTTAGCTGATTATTTTGCACAGTTAGAAAGTAAGGTCCCCTCAGTGAAGCAAGGTATCAAGGAAGGTTAACGAATCTCCTTTCTTGAAAAATATCACCACTGAGCATGCAGGACCCTGGTAGCATCAGGCAATGCATTCTACCAGGGATGGCTTTTAAGTACACCCAGGAGAGTGTTTTAGTTTTTAGAACGTATAATCCATGCTAGCCTCTAATGAGGATATATTTTAAAGCTATTTGTTCTAAGTATGTATTACTTTATGTGGTAGCAGATTTGTTTTTCTAATTTGTTTGAGCACTCACTAACATTAAATTGATTGATTCTGCCAAGAGAAAGAAATGCAATATAAAAATAGGAAAAGAGGCATTATTTACAGATGATAGCATTACATGAGATGCAAGGAGACTCAAACTATTTTTAATTCAACATTTTATTTTGAACTCCACCCCCAGTGCCAGGGATTGAACTCAGGACCTTCTGCTTGCAAGGCAGGTGCAGTACCACTGAGCTAAATCCGCAGCCCTCAACATTTCATTTTGAGACAACTACACATTCTCATGTAGTCATGGCACACAACATGTAACTTTTCCCAGTTTCCCCCGGTGGTGACATCTTGTGGAACTGTTGTGCTGTGTCGTAACCAGGATATTGACACTGTACCATCAAGATATAAAACATTTTCTCTACCACAGAAATCCTCCTTGCCCTTTTTTAGCAAGAGCCATTTTTCCCACCATCAGCACCCATTTCTACTAGCACTGGCAACCACTCTTCTCTAGTTCTGTCAGTCTCAGGAAGTTATACAAGTGATCTCACCCAGTACACATCTTTTTCTGGTTGGCTTCTTTTCATTTAGCATTATTATCTAAACTATTGTACATATCAAAAGTGTAAAGTGGGCATGATGGCACAAGCCTGTAATATCAGCATTTGGGGAAGATGAGGAAGGAGGGTCACGAGGTTGAGCCCAGCCTGGACAACTTAGCATCTTAGTGAGGCCCTGTCTCAAAACAAAGCAGTGTAAAAGGGCTGGGGATATAGCTCACTACAAAAGTCCTGGGTTCATTCTCGCATATTGCAAAGAAGTAACTGCATTCTTTTGCGTCACTGAGAAGTGCCTCATGATATGATTGTGTCCTATTTGTTTAGCCATTCAAACTGAAATGCACCTGAATTGTTTTCAGTCTTTAGTTATAACAGTGTAAAACTGTTAGGAACATCCAGGTAGGGATTTTTGGGTGAGCTTAAGTCTCTGTGGCTCTGAGGTGAGTGCTTAGATGTGTACTTGCTGGGGCATATTGTGGTTATATGTTTAGTTATTTAAGAAACTCCCAAATTACATTCTGGGTTGGCCGTGACATTTTACATCCCCACCAGCTGATGGGTGTGTAGTATTTCTCACTAGTTTTTCTCCCTTCTCTTTATGCTTTTAATTTGCATTCCCCTTAACAGCTAATGATGAACACTATTTCCGTGTGCTTTTTTTGCCTCTGTATGTCTCCTTCAGTGATGTTTTCCAGTGTCTTTTACCTATGTTCTTTTTAACTGGATTGCTGTGTCTTTACTGCTGAGTTTTGAGAGTTCTTTACCTATTTTAGAACTACTAGTTCTTTGTCATATGCATGGTTTCTCCCACTGTTCATCCTTTATCACAAAATTATTAATTTGGATGGAGTCCAGTTTATCAATTTTTCCTTTTGTTGCCCACGCTTTTGGTGTGAAATCTAGGAACTGTTTGCCTCACCCTATATCTTGGAGGTTTTCTCCTGTTTTTGTTCTACGAGTTTAATAGTTATTCCTCTTAAATTTGTCTGCCTTCTGTTTTGAGTTACGTTTATATAGGGACTTGCTTTAAGATTCTCTTCAGCCTCCTCTTCCTCATTCTTTTTGTTCTTTTGTCTGTGGATGTCAGATTACTTTAGCTCCGGTCATGCCAAAGGCTATCTCTTCTCCACTGCTCTGCCTCTTTGTTAAAAGTCCCTGGAGCATATTTGCATGGGTCTATTTTTGGATTCTCCTTTACACTCCATTGATATATATGTCTGTTACTTTGCCAATACTACATAGTTTTGACTACTGTAGCTATAAATAAGTCTTTACATGGGGTTGACTGATTCTTCCTTATCTTATGAATTTTATTTTATTTTATTTTTGGTACCGGGTGTCTTATGAATTTTAGAATAACCTACAGCTACTAAAATCTTGCTATAGTTACTAAAAGCTTGCATTTACTAGTGTGTCAGTTTAGGAATAACTTCCATCTCTATTGTGTTGTCTTCTAATCCATGAGCATGACCTGTCTCCCTACTAATTTTGATATTTGATGTTTCCTCAATACTGTGTGATTTTTAGCATATAGATCTTACACGTTTGCTTTTCCATTTTACATCTAAGGATTTGGGGGAGATTGTAAATGGTACTACATTTAACTTTTTCTTTCTATGTGTTCATGGCTTATAGGTTTTTGTATGTTTATCTTACCTATTTAACCTTGGCAAATCTTTTGTTTGGTTCTAAGAAATTTAAAAATAGAGTCCTTGGAGGCCAAGGATTTAGCTCAGTGGCACCACGCCTGCTCACAAGCACAAGGCCCTGAGTTTGATCCTTGATAGCAAAAAAAAAAAAAAAAAAAATAAAAAA